TACCACTAATTGGCTCAAGGCACAACCGTGTTTCTGAACTAACGCAAAAAAATAATTCCAACAGTTTTTTAAACTATATACTTTATTTTTTTTATTCTTAAGACCTTTTAATGTCAAGACACTTAAAAATTTTCAATAATTTTTTTCTTGATAAAGATCTTTTAAATCACCTTGAATGCATAATATTTTACTTTTAACAAGCTTATAAACAAAATTTTTGTAGATTTTATAATAAAAAATAAATTTTGTTGTCATGGCCTTGCACAATAGTTTCCGGAGATTGTCGATTCAAGGACAAATGTCCTCTAAAAGATCACATTAAATTATTAATAATTAATAAAAAGGTATTTCTTCACAGAATTACATGTACTTAAAAATATCGCTTCATATATTCTTGGGACTTGTTATTGGCGGATTGTTCCTGGGTACTGGGAACGATGGTTCCAAGACACTGTTCAATTTTGGGTTCTGTTTAGCTTGTATTATTGTATTGCTCTACGTGCCAATGCTGCCGATATTATTGCACTGTAAGTTTACTTCAATATAATTAATTATCTCTTACTAATAAAACTAAATCTTGCATTCCAAATTTTAAATCCTTAAAATTAACTAAAAATTAAGACACTAAAATGAACTAATATTAGAAACTTTTTTAGAATTTTATAACAATTAAATTTTATAAAAAAAATTTAATAAAAAAAATTCCACGTGTGAAAATTAAAAAAAATTATTAGTAGAAATTTTTTAAAGTCTTTTTTTTAATTGATTTGTAAAAATTAAAAAATTAATTGTTGTCAGCTTAGTTCAGTATCATCCAAAAATTATACACGGAAAAAAATAAATAGTAAATGCAACATGATGCAGTTTTGATAAATGAACATGATGAAATCATGTTGCAGCCACATGATTTGTCATGTTTCGGTTACATGACAATCATGTTGCGGTAGTATGAGAAAATCATGTGGCATTAACATGATTTTCATGCAGCCGAAACATGACAAATCATGTGGATGCAACAGGAGAAAATCATGTGGCAGCAACATGATTTGTCATGTTTCGGCTACATGACAATCATGTTGCGGTAGCATGAGAAAAATCATGTGGCAACACATGATTTTGTCATGTAGCCTTAGTAGCATAACATTAAGCTGCAACAACTAAATATTTATGCTTCAGAAACATTATTCATTAAGCCGAAACATGACAAATCATGTGGCTGCAACATGAGAAAATCATGTGGCAGCAACATGATTTGTCATGTTTCGGCTACATGACAATCATGTTGCGGTAGCATGAGAAAAATCATGTGGCAACAACATGATTTGTCATGTAGCCTTAGTAGCATAACATTAAGCTGCAACAACTAAATATTTATGCTTCAGAAACATTATTCATTATAAAGTAACTTGGTTTTTTAGGATTTATAATATTGCAGATGAAAATAAGAGTAAATTATTGAATTTTATAATTTGTGAACGATATCTTTGTTTATTCAAATTATATACAATTTTTATTGCCAATAACTTTGGTTTGTGATAAAAGTAATTAAATTATTATTAAATGTTATTATTTTCAAATTAAGTGTCTTGTTGCAACATAATTCAAGTCTCCAATTGTGCCTTGTCTAGCGATAAAAAAAGAAGGCTTGAATTATGTTGCAACAAGACACTTAATAACGTTTCTGAAGCATAAATATTTAGTTATTTCAGCTTAATTTTATGCTATTAAGGCTACATGACAAATCATGTTGCTGCCACATGATTTTTCCCCTGCTACCGCAACATGATTGTCATGTAGTCGAAACATGACAAATCATGTTGCTACCACATGATTTTCCTATGCTACCGCAACATGATTGTCATGTAGCCAAAACATGACAAATCATGTTGCTGCCACATGATTTTCCCATGCTACCGCAACATAATTGTCATGTTCCGGCTACATGAAAATCATGTTGCTGCCACATGATTTGTTCATGCTACCGCAACATGATTGTCATGTAGCTGAAACATGAGAAATCATGTGGTTGCAACATGATTTCATCATGTTCATTTACCAAGACTGCATCATGTTGCATTTACTATTTATTTTTTTCCGCGGAAAAGCGTGTACAAATATTTACTTGAAGGATCTATTTCTTCCTTAACTCATCAGGAAGAATAACTCAAAATTAACATTAAACATCTTTTAGTTCCATCACAAGTCCAATTGGTAAAACGTGAACACTTCAACAGATGGTACGATCTCAGTCCATACTTTTGTGCTCTAACAGTAGCGACAATTCCTGCTCAGGTTCGTCTACGGTAATCTATTAGACAATTATTCACAAATATGGAAAAATTGCCGGTAAAATCACCGCTCAAAATCACAGCGGTAATTTTGCTTGGTAATTTCACCTCCGCACTCAAATTATCAATAATTTTTCATTTCTTCATTCTTTCAATTAATAAAAGAGAAATTTAACAATTTTAGTTGATATTGAGTACTATTTACCTGACGATGGTGTACTTTATATCAGGACAGCCAATGGAGCTTTACAGATGCGCAATGTTCTTCAGTACATGCTTCGTTTGCGCGTTTATCGCGGAGAGTATGGGATTCGCGATAGCCAGCACCTTAAGTATTGTCGTAAGTTTAACTCAATTAACAAACTGGCTAATTAATTATAACCATAACGCTTTTATGATGGCAATAAATAAGAGCCGGGGAATTATACGGGTGATTAATCTGAGGTAATTGACAGAACGGAATGTTTGTGGGACCTGCGTTAACAGTCCCCCTGATGCTGGTAGCAGTCCAAGGATTAGGAAGTCCCGATCCACTGCCGATTTATCGTACGCTGGTTATGTACTTAAGTTACATAAGATATGGCCTGGAAGCACTTATTATCTCAACTTACGGATACAACCGGGAAAAATTACCGTGCCCTTCTGAAGAAGTTTATTGTCATTACCGTGTGCCGCGTGAATTATTGAGAGCAATGGGTAAAATTTTTAAATTGTCTTTATATTTCTTCCCGTTATCTTCTTAAATATTTCTTAATTTATTTCTTCTTTTTCAGGCATGGAACACTGTGTGTTTTGGGTTGATTTTGCAGCCCTTGTTTTTATACTGATGGCATTCAAAGCAATTGCATTTTACTTACTGAGACAGCGCCTACGGCCTAATAAAACATTCCGTGCGATACATCTTGTTGGAAGACTTATCAAAAGTCATTTCAGTATTGAATAAATATTGAAATATTATAAAATTTTAGAACATAGTGAGAAAGAAGATTAGTTTTAAGTCAATATTGTAAATTATTTCGATTTTGTAAATGTTTTTTACTGATTTGTTGGAAGCAAAATAAACAGGTTAATATTTTTTTTTTGTTTAATTATTTACCACACTGAAGAATACAATTTTGGAAAAATTTTATGTTTTTATGTATTAAATTTTTGAATCATGTGAATTTTTTTTTCTAAGTAAAAAAAAAATCTTTTATTCTGAATTTCAAAATTCAATTTTATAATATGTCTATTGAAGTGAGCAAAAATAATTTATTTCACTGAAAAATTTTAATAGAATTTCATAAATTCAATTAAATTTTTTTCTTAAAATTTTTAAAAAATATTCATTAGTAGGGTAAATGCACCAATTATTGACCGATTAAGGTTTTCTTTTTCTGTACTAAGCGATAAAAAATCTATTAACCTACTAAAAACAATTTGTAATGAATTTTATTAAAGTTAAATACTTAATTAATAATAATTAATAACTATTTATAATAAAAATTAACAAAATTATATTAATTTTGTTATTTGAATCTTGAAATACTAAAATCACCAATTATTGACCGAAGAAACCTAATAAATGACCGAGCGTTCTCCAATTAATTGACCGCTGAAATAATTATATAAGTAATTTTGTATTGAAATTTTTTTATTCTTCTCCTTCTTTTTTTCAATCAAAGCTTTTTTACTAGCTTGTAGCTCTTTTTTATTTTTTTAATTGCTTAGCAATTTTTTCTTCTAATAATTCGTTCTTTGATATAACCGTTCACTAAAAAATTAGAACAAAATAAAATTTAATAGTCAAAAAAGATTTTAAGTATTATTTTAAGTATAAATATACATTTTATAATGATTATTTTTATATTTACAAAATATTGAATGACTAAAGTACTTTAAACACTTGACAGATTTAATTTTGAGGTGAAGAAGTTAGTATTATAAATATACGGTCATCAATTGGATTGTGATAAAATCAGAGGGTCTAATAAATGACCGAATGAATTTTTTACTGAGTAAAGAGCTTCTGACGGATCCAATAGTTGAACGGTCTTAAAATAATATTAAAACTTATAATTTAACTTTATTTTTTCAAAAAAGTCGGAATCTGATCTTTAATTAACATAATAAAACTAAAATATTTTATATTATGCCGATAAATATCACTAAATTAATGATGAAACGCTCTCACTCTCCAATTGCACGCTAGTTATTTTTGACCGCTTTATGGCTGGTTGCGTTGTAAACAAACTCAGAATATTTTTTTAAAGCTATAATCACTGCGCAATTAATTGCGTAATTTTTTATTATGATGATTAAATGCCATATTTTTTTATTTTAATACTTTAAGAAAAAAAAACCCTTGTAAAATATTAATTAATTAACTTTTTTATAAATCGGTCAACTAATTGGTGACCGGTCAACAACTGGTGCATTCACCCTATCAAAGATGAAAATTTATAATACTCCATATAATAAAAACATGTCACATTCCTGATAAAATATGAATTTAAAAACTCTCCAAAACATCATTAGTCTAGAAATGATAAGTTGAATGATATCAATGAATAAATATAAAACTATTTTATCTATTACATGAACTCAATCCGTATATCTTTAAATATAAGCGTTACCAATAAAAATAACCTGCAGTATTATCGAAACCATCAATAAGCTAGAAGCTTCCATAATTTTTAGTTCCACAATGAAGATATATATAATAATTCTAGTACTGGCAGTTGTCGCATTAGTGGGCGGAGGGTGAGTGAAAATTAAGCAAAATATTTCTACAAAATAAATCGATAGGATTTTTATGATTTTTCAGCAACAATCTGATCTGAATAATTCTAAAGAGTCATCTGCAATTCCATCAAAAAAAAAAAAACGAAATCGATGTAATTATTTTCAAAGAAAGATGACCAGACACCGTATGTTCTTTATGGAAAATAGGAAACAAAACCAACATATGCTCGCTTCCAAAAGAAAAAAATTGGAGTATCTCCGGATTATGGCCGGAAAGAAGAGGCACTAGTACGCTTATGAATTGCAACTCTTCAGCGAAGTTTGATCTTGAGCAATTAGCGCAAATTAGCGCTGATCTAGACGCCAAATTCATCGGCGCAGGTGCAAAGAACAACACTTCGTTATGGGAAAGAGCCTGGTATTCCCACGGTACTTGCAGCACTAGTGTTCCTGAAATAAACTCTCAGTTCAAATATTTCAAAAAAAACCCTCGAGTTGTTTGACAAGTATGACGTACAGGGTGCTTTTAAATCCAACAACATTACTATTGGAAATGAGTATAATGCTGAAGAAATTTTAGGTGCAATCGAACGCAGTTTTGGCAAGCACGGAATGGCTGGATGTAAATATATGACAGTAAGTTTTAAAATAACTTTTGGGTAAAATATTAACGAATATTGTTAATAGTAAAAAAATATTTTTTCCAACCAAAAAAATATCTGAAAAAGATTTTAATAAATTGATTTATTAAATACAAATAAATCCTGCTTCTATCAGTGTAGTACATTTTGATATCTTTAAAGCTTGAACACTTACAAGTATTTTTTTTTACAATGGATATTAAAGTAATTTTTTTTATTTGTTTTTTCACAATCGTAGCTCTAAGAGTCAACGGGTATATAATTTATTTTATTGATAATTATTTAAAATGTAACTAATTTTTAAACTATTTAATGATGATCTAATTAAAAATTTTTTTATTCTTTAATAATTTTGTTAAAATAAGCGGATATATATAATTATAATTGTAATTAATTGAAAAAATAATAAAAATATTGAAAATAAAATTTTGCACTGTAATTAAAAAATTTCACTAATTGTTTAAATAAAATATAATTAATAATTAATAATAATAATTGATAATTAAATATAATTAATTGTTTTAATTTCATTTTTTAAATATTGGATATTAAATTTTGAAAAACTTCAAAAATTTTCATAGAATTGAATTATTAATTTAATAAAATTCTAAATTTGCAGAAAAAAAAAACGAACAAGAATAAGCAAAATAAAATCCTGCGACGAATATGCATCCAAGCGCAATAATATAAGCATGGATTTCGACACATTAGTATTCACTCTATCATGGCCACCTACAGTATGTTACAAATATTTGAAAAGTACTCGAAACGCATCTTGGAAATTTCCACTAAAAACCCAATGGTCCATCCATGGTTTATGGCCATCGAGAATTGCGAGAAGAGCTCCAGATTTTTGTAACTGTACACGGAAATACAATCCTGCTGAAATAGAAACTTTAATGCCAGAACTCGAAAAAAAGTGGACAAACGTATTGAACCAGAGTGACCCGCACTACCTTTGGAATCACGAGTGGTCAAAACACGGCACTTGTGCCAGTACAGTTGATTCGTTGAATACTCAATTCAAGTATTTTAATCAAACGCTTGAGCTTTTTGATAAATATAATATATCTTCAGTGCTTAGCAAAAATGAAATTGAGTTAGAAGGTACTTACAAACAGATAGAGATCCTAGAAGCCTTCGAGAAATCTCTGGGAAAACAGATTGGCAACAATTGTATCGTTCATTATGTAAATGACCGTGTAAGTTTTGTTAATTCTACAATTTTATTAATTATCATTGGTTCATAAATATTAACCATATATACTTTTCCTTTCAGACGAGGAAATACTTCTTGAGCTCAGTACATTTGTGCTTCGACAAATCTTTCAACTTAATAGATTGTATTAAAAATAAACACTTCCCAACAAATTGTCCATCTCCTCTGAGTATTTCTGCAGAAGTAGAATATAGTACTATGGAAGAAATAATAAACCTTATTTGAAGTATTTTTTACCTGATGATAAACTTTCTTTTATTGTTATATCATGTATAATAAGCGTTTATTAGTATTTAATAAAACTGTCTCTCAGTGTACAATATATAAAAATAAATCAAACTAAAGTTAACAATTTAGTATATGGATTAAATTATAAAATACAAGATAAAAGTAGAAGGCTCAAATCATTCAATAGTCCTGAAGTAGAGTAAAGGAAAAAAAGTTTGGAAAATCCAAAAGTGCACGCCTCATAACGCTCATTTATTTTTTAAGAAAGAAATTAATTGTGTAACTGATTTAAAAAAAAAAAAATTATAATTAAGTAATTTCTTACAGAATATTTTTTATTTTTTTTTTTTAAATATCAGCGCCCTTTTTTCTTGTCATAAGCGCACGCAGTCTAAAAAAATCTAGCTTAATCAAGTGGCGCCATAGTTTTCGCGTGAGAAATAAGAAAAGTTCGTTTGGCTTTGTACGGTTGTATCGTAGTGAATTTTAATAAAAATTCAATTTAAAAAAAAATACGTAAACTAGGCCACCGATATGAAATACGGACCCAGTTCATCGAATTCTTAAATTAATAAAAAAGGTCCGGTCTTCAAATATAAATTTGTTCGGAAGTAATCGTTGGTACATCCAAAATGGGGTGACATCCGGACGTCCACGTAAAATTTTTTTCAAAACTTTTTTTTTTTTTTTTTTGCAACATGAAATGATTTTAGAAAGTAAAAGATGGTTTAATTTAAGTATTTTTTCGGTGTACATCTACTTATATCATTGTATAAGTGTAATATAATTGTGATAGAGGCATTTAAAGATCACAAAATTGCTTGACCTTGACGAGTCGAATATAAAGCACAACCTCACGCGCTTCGCGCTATGAGGCGTGCAATTGCCTCTTAGTTCGCCTGGGGTCTACTCTGGAGTGGTGATAAGTGAATATCCCTGTGGTGATAATAAGGACTTTGTCATTCTTAAATTTCACGCTGGTCCTCCCTACGAGGATATTGCTTTTAAAATAGTCAACAGGGAGTGGGAATATTCTTACAAACATGGTTTTAGGTGCCAATTTTACAATAATATATTTCAATTGTGGTTCCACTTTAAAAGATACCGTTATCGACGATAGACATTGACTTTTTTACATTTTATTTACAATTAAATTATTTATTTATTTATTTGAAAAAAAAACGTCCTCGGCAATTGACACCGATATATTATATTATATTGTGTAATATAAAAATAAATATAATAAATTGTACTTGAATTTTCATAAATTTAATTAGTTTTTTTTTAACTTCCTTATTTTATGTTGATTATTTATTCTGTTTTGTTTTATTTTATGCTAATTGGATGAAATGAATAAATAATGGATATTCTGGTGATATTCTTCTGACATAAGGTATATCGAACCAATGGCAAGGTGAAAGTAAATTTAAAATTTTAAATGTTCTACCTCATACTCATTTTTATCACATTTGACTCTGCAAGTCTGATCAGATCTAATTATATATATCGACGATTCATAATTGTTCAGACATGAACAGGCATGGTCATGTATGATCAGGTTTGGACGTTTTTAACGCTTCAGACATGGACAGGTATGAGCAGACATCATGATCAGGCCTGAGTGTATTCAACGCTTCAGACATAAAAAAGCATGATCAGGTCTAATTTCAGGCCTGATCATACATGAACAGGTATAGTTAGAACTGATCATTTTTTCCCAGGTATTTTGTTACTTGCAATTTAATTGATAAAAAAAACTAAAAATTTTTGAACGTCGGCTAATTTATGACATTAAAGTTAACTGGCACTTGAAAATTTTTTTGGAGTTTACTCCTTAAGAATCGATTTTCATATATAAGACGCCCGGTATGAGAAAAATGTGAGGGGTAAAAGCTACTGATGAATGACCTCGTTACGTTTTTGGTGCGCAAACTTTCTCTTTTTAGGGGCGAGCATTCAAACGTTCACGGGGTATGTTGCGGGTCAGCATACGCATTAAGTATACCTATATATGTTATTAGTTATTAGTAATAACTTACTACTATATAAAATATATAAGTATATAATATATACAGCCACGAGCATTAATTCAAATATAGGTATTCAAGTTTATAGTTGAATTGAAAATTGTAAATTCGGCCGTTTCTAAAGTCTAAAATTATGCCCTTTGTCAAATTTACTAAACCTAAAAAAAAGACTGCTAATGTGGGCAAAAAGAATACAATGCCAAGTGTAAATTGAGCGTAAAGTAAAAAATGACAAAGAAAAAATCCGCGAATTTTCGAAAAAGAACATCTAAAAAAACAGTCACTTAAAAATAAATAATTCAAATAAAATGCTGCATTAATAAAATAATGCCAATCTGACATAAGCTAATTTATGAAAATGATTCTAAAGAATAATTCAAAGTAACAAATAAACGAAAAAAAATATTGAAATTTGAAAAGATTGTCATTTCTCAAACAATATTATTTTGAATATTGAATTTCCGTAAAATTGAAAATCGTAAATGTTGCCGTTTTAGAATCTAGAAAAGCAATTTTAGCTGATACTTAGCCTAGCATTACGTAAAATTATCCGATTCAAAATTTTCAAATAATTAAAAATTCCGATTCAAATAATCATTTGTCGTGTTCGGCTTACAAAACCTACCCCGGGGCAGTGAATACAAAAGCATTTGATTGGACCTCAAATTAAATTTTTAAATTTTGAAAACTTCAGATCCAGTCAGCTGCTATTCGTTTGTTTTAGCCCGGGGTAGGTTTAATAAGCCGAATACAATAATTAATATATTTACTTTCAATTGCATATTGTATTAACCTGATATTAACCTACAACAACTGTCAACTTGCGGAGGTTTTATCGTAAATTTTATATTTTATTTATAATTGATATAAATATAAATTTATATCAATTGATATTTATTTCAAAATTGAAAAAATTACTCAATTAATAAAAATCAATCTATAGATGTGTCATGCATACTCTAAGTAATATAAGAAAAATACATTCATTTACCCTTATTCACTAATCTATTTATTTTATAATCGTTCGTAAGGAGTAAACTTCAGTCGTGCGTTGGAGCTGACACACACACTTTTTTTTTATTTTCTTTAACAAACAAATTTATTTCGAAAAATTATTTTAAAAAAATTACATTTTTAATTTTTTAATATTTCTACAAGTTAATTTTTTTTTCTCAATTTTTTTGCCATAATTTATTTGTTATAAAAATTCATAAAATTATCAAATATGTGATAAATTAAATGACAAGGCTAATTTTAGAATCATTAAAATTTTGGGTAAAAGTTAACGAATAAAAATATATGAACTGTTCTAAGATAAAAAGACCCAGTTATTGACACTGGCCTAGTTGTTTGACACTTGCAATTTTATTCTAATTAAAAAAATTTAATGTTCTTAAAAAACCAATTTTCTTAAAATTTAAAATTCAAAAATTATATTCATTAATTTATTAGAGTTGATTTGTTTTTTTTAATTAAAATAAAATTGCAAGTGTCAATAATTGGGTCTTTTACCTTCACTGACACTTCAATAATTTTTTTTTTCTATTATTATTGTTATTATATTTGGCAAGATCATTTTCTAAGAAACAGTCGGTAATTTATCAATCTCAAAAAAGTAACACTGGCATTAGCGATCAGATGACGCCACAAGCTTGAACGTTAAGGAAAAAAACCGAAGATTTCCGAGTGTCTCCGACGACGACTTTCGCTATGAGACGATTTTATTAAAAATTTATTTATAGTATAAAGTTAATAAATAAATTGTACGTATAATTTTGTTTGATTATTTATTTATTTATTTATATTATTATTTTCTACTCAATATTTTGTGAAGCGATGTATGATATTTTTTTTAACTCAAATAAATTAATTATTAGTTGACTTATTGTGTTTTTCTTATGTCTCATATTATTGAATAATTATAATAATAATATCGAGCATATTGTTATAAAATTTTTATTGTAATTCAATATTGTATTAATTTTAACAAATGATATTTAAATATTACCATATTGTGTGGTATATTTTATCTTAAATTTTTTTGTGATTACATTTTATCTATGTTAAAAAAAAAAAATATTTGTATCAGTAAACTATCGTTGCGCATGATAATATCTATGTTTCCGAGGAGAAAAAATATAATATTTCGATAAAACCACTCGGTTTATGTATAAAAATATCTCTTCTTCCGTGATGAGGTAGTGCATTTAGTTTCGCTTATTAATATTTTAATTTAAACAATTTACATGAAAATTAAGTTAGCCGACATCTAAAAATTTTTAGAATTTTTTTTTATTGAAAAAATCATTAAAAAAAAATTTTCATTTGCAAAAAACTTGAAAAACTGAAAGTGAAGTTTGTAAAAAATATTTTTCAATAAAAAAAAATCAAAAATTAAAAACGACGTCGGCTAATTTATGAAAATTAAGTTAGCCGACATCTAAAAATTTTTAGAATTTTTTTTTATTGAAAAAATCATTAAAAAAAAAATTTTATTTGTAAAAAAACTTGAAAAATTGAAGGTGCAATTTTTTAAAAATATTTTTTTTGTTCTAATTTAATTATTAAAAATAATCAAAAAATTAAAAACTTCGGCTAATTTTATTATTATGGCTAATTTATGTTACTATTTAAGTTAGCCGACGTTTTTAATTTTTGGATTGTTTTTTAATAATTAAATTAGAAAAAAAAATATTTTTAAAAAATTGCACTTACAGTTTTTCAAGTTTTTAACAAATGACAATTTTTTTTTCTTTTTTTTTTTTTT